GAGTACTGTTTTCCATGCCCAATTCGGAGTGGCGTAAACAGAGAGGTGGCCAACCCTTGACTTGGCAGAGGAGTATGAAGGAGATCACGAAACGCTTGGGTGCTGTCGGTGCTACTCGCCTTCCAGGATGGGGACCGCGTGATCCTCACTGTGCCTGGTTGAAGACCGTACAAGATATGGCTGTCAACCGATGTCAGTGGCGTTCTTGTTGTCAGTTTCTACCCAGATCGCCTGAGTGAATGTCTGGAGGTGTAGGCACCTTGGAATGATTGTGTTAATCTATCACTAATTCCCTTCCCCGTCCACCATTCTTTTCTTTACGATAAGGCTTTCAAATAAGTCATGGTTGTACGGCAGTGAAGCATCAGGAACAAACATGGATATCATGCTGTCGATGATGATTATGGTGTGTGTCTCCGAAACACGCATACAAGACCTAAGCGTGGTTATGCAAGAACGCCAAGGCAGTGAAGCATCAGTGTTGAACATGGATATCATGCTGTCGATGATGATTATGGTGTGTGTCTCCGAAACACGCATACAAGACCTAAGCGTGGTTATGCATCTCAGAACGCCAAAGATGAAATCAGCTATTTCACATTTCTCTCTCCGTGTGTCCGGTAACCTAGAAGCGATGACTCGTGAAATGTATGCTGTGGGAGTCGCAGTCAGCCCCAGTGCTGAACGCTCTTTGCTGGATTGGATCCCATTGATCAGTCGTCTTTGTGCCGTCTGGGTGGTGGACCGATTCTGGTCTTGCAGAATAATGTATTGATCTCATCCACCTCATTCCCGTTGGAGCTTAGGCAACTCTGACGTTCCGAACTATACAAGGTCATGTTCCGCCTGACTGCCTTACGAAGGTATGTGTGATAAATTTTGTGTTGTCCGGTACCTTCCTCTACTCAGCGCGTGTGCTTTTTATAACCATTGGACATTTTACACATTCCTGCTCGCTCGGTTTTCATCGGCGATGATTTTTCTCTTGGTCACTGTCGAAACCCCAAAACTTTGAACTGTTTTTAGTGATGAACGCCGATGCGACTTTCTTTAAAAATTTATCTTTTTCGGAAAGTCCATGCAGGATGCTGTGTTGTGCCATCA